TACTCATTGACAAAAGTGAATATACTTGGAAATGAAAGTTTAAAGACTGCGTGACTTACTGAGAATCGCACAATGGGCACAGCCCTATGTGAACAGACATGACTTTTGGAAGAAAGCAATCAGAGATAAACTAAGGATAGAAAAAACTAGTCCTCATACAGGAAGTGGAAGAAAGTAGATAATACGGAAGGAATAGTGTTCATTGTCGTACAGGCTGTAAAAACTCCTGCTATGGCTCCTATGCTTCTGAGCAACTCTGAAACAGTGCAAGTTTAGGAAGACAAGCAGACAAAATAAGTTACCCAGCCAGTATAACACTGGTAAGAATCAACCTGATGGGTTGAGAATTAGCAAGAACTTTGACATCAACAGTCTCAAATTAGTGCTGAATTGCTTTTGTTAAGACCACACATAACATGCAGTTAGTATGCCCAAGCAGCCTTAATGCCATTTCCTTAAAAATAACCTCAAGTTTTGGAGTGAAGTAGGAAACATTTCAATCTTAAAGAGACAAACTGGTATACACTGGAATAAGATTTTCAGATAATTCCAAGGCAACAATAGCAGATCTAAGTTGTGATTTTCAAGTACATCAGTTGTACTTTGGTACTGTCAGGAGCTGGAAGAACTTTTCTCAAGTTTAAACTTTAATTTGTTCTTACTTTCTAAGGTTCCAAGTTGAACTGCTAGGATTATATATTCACATGCAAGTTCCTCAAACTTAGGTCAGGTTAATGTTTCCTTTCAGTGGTCAAATGAACATATTAGCCAAGGACGCAACTACTCAACAATAAAACAATCAACAGAAGAAGTGATGTTAGAATCCATATTTAAGATTCACATTAACAAGTGCAAATGCAACTGACAGCAATGATGACTATATTCAACAAGGTGAGGTAACAAACAGAGGAAAATGAGTTCAAACACAACATAAGATGAACTTACATCTAAATAAGAATGGAATCATGTAGAGGAGAGGAAAGGGCACGGACACAAATAGCACAAAATCTACTCAGAAGTTTAAGCACAGAGGGATGTTAAAATGATAAATAATGGCTTTGCATTTATATAGCACCATCCACCCAAACAAGACAAAGCGCTTTACAAATATTAATGAATTGAGCCAGAGCATCTTCAAAGGTATCCATATTCAATTTGAAGTGTGGTGTAACAGTGCTCTAAAGAACACCAGTGACATCTTTATGGCTTCTTTCCTATGGAGACATTCCTCTATGAAACATCATAAGTACCCCTGTTCTAAAGCATTTCTATATTCCATGACACATGCTATACTTTTATACTCTATGAGAAAGAAGACTCGAGAGGTATATAATCAGCATCTATAAATACTTGTACTGTAACAATGGAATGTCAGAAAATTACTCCTGTTCTCAAATGTCAGAATGAAGGAGCAGTCTACGTTTCAAAGAAAAAGTGTGTTTAACCAAATATTGCAGCTTTCCATGGTTACGTAGCAGCAGCACTAGAAAAAAAAAAAACCACAACACTATCAAGGAATAATTCTAAGACATTACCACTGCACACGTTCAGAATAACTTTACATAAAATAATTACATCCTAACAATTCTAGAAGAAATCAGTAGACTCAGACTGCACCTTCTGGCCCATCTATCATTGTGCAATATAAGAACCACTCTGAAGACAGAAAAAGTGGGAGGAGACAAGACAACAAGCCTTACCCTCTGAGCTTTTGCAAGTTCTTCTTTCAATCTTTCATAGCCCTTTTCTCTTACTTCCAGTACAGATGGGCTCCGTAAGTGAGATAAACTGTCTGTACTTAACCCAAAAATATCTTCATTTCCTTCAGCAACATCTGCTACTGTAGCACCCTGCAAAAACTCTCTCTCTGCGTTATTGCTCTCCTTTCTGGAATTATTGTGATTGAATGACCCACCCTGGGGTCCAGAGGTAGAACACAGTACTGCGTCGGTAACATTGATGCTGTAAAGAGAGTAATATATATTTTTATTTATATAATACATTAAGAAGAAATATTTTAGAAGTGGCAGTAATGGTGTTGAATGTATCATTATGGACACAATTTAACATTACAACACTAAGTAATATTAAAATTGTATCTTAGTAAAGCAAGCAATTTATATGCAACAAACATCAGCAGTTAAAATAAAAAGACACACAGAACTTACCTGACACCTGATGCTTCTCCACAATTCAGTTGTCTGGGAGATGAATAAACAGGTTGTGTGGGAAGGTCAGAAACATTTAATGCATTGGGTTGGATTGGTGTGGAGGAGACAACAGAAGGATGTGGTCGGTAGATAACACTGGGTGAGGTAGTTTGTTCCTGAGTCCCTGGCTCGTTTACTCCAAGAAGATCTGGTGTAGTAGGTGAAGCAAGGTTTACTTCATGAAAGCCTTCCAAGGGATCACTGGCCATAATAAAAGCCTCATCATATGAAACCCTGAATTAAATAATCACATTATCAGAATGCAAACAGGAAATATATAATTATATATGACAACTATTTGAATTAAAAAAAACACCCAGACATATGCTCAGATTACTTCCTGATATAATGGAAACCATGGACTAATCTTGCAAAAGTATCAACTTCAAACCACCAAAAACTGTTTTTTTCACACATTGGAGTGTTGACTCCAGAAGATCTAATAGCAGACCCCACATCTAAATGGGATGATGAAATCAAGAACACGGTCTATATCAGAAAACAAAGTCATCTTTAATATAGCCTAGAGCTGTTTTTTATCAAAACATAAATATATTATATTTATGAAACACGGGGAGACCTGGGAACCAGTAAGAAAAAAAAATTAAAACCTAAAGCTTCCACTTTTAATCTCAATGAAGCAAATAACCTAGAGACAGAAATCAGTGAATCTTTAAATAAATTACAGTCCATAGCAGTTCTGGTTACACTACACATCTGATCTTGTCACAGTTCACTGAAATGATAGAACTAGCCAATAAGACTCCTCATGAAGTGTGATGATGTGTATTTAATACATCACATGATTAAGTGATGATAACAATTGTGAATAAGTATCATACCAAAAATATACTACATTTTAATTCCATGTGTTTTTCATAAGATCTACAGAAAACAAGTAAAACAGACTAATTTTTACAAGCCTCAATAGAAAGCTCCTATTTTCCAGCAGTTTATCAGAGATCACAAAAATCTTTGCATGATTCAAAACTGTAAGTTGGAAGTAGTATGGAAAAATTTGTGAACGAATTACTTAGCAGTAATTATTCACTGCAAAAACCATTTTTCATGTTATATACATAAGAGAGAAAATTAAGACTTCACAAAGGTACTTAACGTGCAAAGGAAGAACTGTAGCATCTAAATGAAATAATATATTGCATTTTACAGAGAAATCTGCTTGGGTCTTACAAATGGAAAGACAGGGCACAAAAAAGGTCTAGAAAGATGACTGTCATAGCCACGAAGAGATGATGCCATCTACTTTCATGTGCATCCAGTTCATTAGCTGCTTCATAAAACACAGAAAATACCAAGAATGGAACCCCAAATTAGCATATGCAGTAATGTTTTAGTTACATCAATACTTTTTGGTCATCTTAAACTCAAACAACACTGTTCAAAACTGGCTTCCATTTCAAGTATTGTACTGAGTGTGTATACATCTGTGTTGAACAAGTTGCTTTACCAGGTACATTTGGAAGAAATGCATTTCTTCAAACAGTAAGAATATGTTATTTTTTCTCTGCCTCTTAATTGCTCCCACAAAAAAAAAAATCAACCACCTCTAAGAAACTTCCCAGACTTAAGGGACAAAAAGGACCTTACAGGAATAAAAAGGGATGTTTTTTGGTTTGGGGTGGCTTTTTTTCTGTTTTTTTCTGCAGAAATTTGTTTTATTTTGAACTATCAATAGCAGTTGCACAAATATGATTTACACAGAGAAACGCTGTCACAGTTTTGCACTTTGGAGCTCTTCTACCGTAACACAGAGATGAAGAGCTTAGTTTTGAGTTTAGGTAAGTTTAAAAAATATTCTTGTTTGTTTTCCCTATAGTTCTTCTTAAACTATTATAAGCATTATAATTACATGCTCTACATGATGATAAAGCCTGCCGAGTCAACAAGTTAAAACGGAGGGACTGCCACAGCCAGAGGACATTTCTTCAAGGTTAAATTTCAAAAAATGTTTTCAGCTTTACAGGGCAACTATGTCATTGTTTTACATTTAATGTAATGCCATCTTGAAAAAATAAAATTGCATAAACAGTCCTTTAAAGTTCATCAGCCCAGCTGAAAAATATCCATCTCACCAGTCTCAAAGTCAGGCTCACATCTGCAAAAACACATTTGCTTTCATTGTTCCCATGACTCTCCTCTTTTTCAACCACCAAGTAAGAAACACCCAATACTACTATACTGGCAACACCGCCAAGATGTCTCTCCATATTCTCGATTCCTGGATTCCAGTCTTCACAATTAACAGAAGATGCAGGCTTCTGAACAGGGATGTAGAAAGGCTGCCTGAATGCCTTGCCTTTTCTATTCCTACAGCACCTAAGAAAGTGCACCAAAAACCACCCAACAGAACCAAAGACTGAGAACATAGCTGAAAGCAATCAGGAACAACTCTTCCGTCACATCTTCCCTTCTGTTTATTAGTTTGATTTAAAACTTGAAAGACGTGTTCATAATTCTACTGAAAACTCAGTCTGACCTGACGTTCACTAGTGGTACCACAGTATTTTGCATCACCAGTACCACTGGTTATTTTCAGTTGTATACCTCATTGGGCTGAAATTTTCTGAGAGGGTTTTTTTCTCTAAAACGATTTTAAAAAAAATACTATTTAGGTATTTCCAAGAAATAAAAGGCTCAAGAAAACCTTATTTCTCAGTTTTTAATGTATTTTACTATTTCTGTACAAATCTTAGGACTGTTTGGACCAAATACTTGATGTACTTAAAGTAAGCAACAGGCTCGAAGATGTGCCATTCCATATCTTTACGATAATTTACACAAATTCAGCTACATTGTGAAGTGCAAAAAGTCACCCTGGCTCACACAGAGAAAATGATTAAAAGCCTGCTTATTATCTTCCTGATGTTGAAATGCATGTCTAGCTCCGCCACCGGACCATCACATCAATCTACAATATGCAAATTAGTATGCTTGTTAAAAAAAAGAATCTATCCTACCTACACGCTCCTACTTCTATGAGAAATGTTCCACTTAAGTCCTTTCCTACAGTTTTTGCACTTAACCTGCCTACATCCTGCAGTGTTTTTAATAGTTAAAAAAAAAAAAGGAATTTTATTTACAAGACTACCACTCTGCTTATACATTAAATATCAATCTCAGCCTAAACAGACAAGAGAGATTTATGAGTAAATAAATCCATACATGTCTTCTCAATTATCAAAACCCAAGCTTTTTCTGATACAGAAAGTTTAAAAAGTTATAAATGTTATTCCTGGAAGAGCTGAAAATAAAGTCCCTCAGCTAAACTTTTCCCATAGTCTGTCAAACGGGCACTTGTAAGCATACCATCTGGGTAAAACACTTCCCATTCACAACATTTTTCTTTCCTAGTGTTACTTCTCACTTAGCAGTGAGCAGGCAGAAGCTGGGTACACCACCCATACAAGACAAAGAAGCCTATATTAAATATCTGTTTTGAGATGCCAGTTGAACACACGTTACGCATTAATGAAACCAAACATACATGCAAAAAGCTGGTGGTCCTAAAAATAAAAGCTCTCTTTTGGGAAAGAACTCTTCAAAATAATGGTAAACAAAAGGAGGGAAAAAAACCTCACATAAAATGTCAGTGTGATTAAGGATTACAGGCTTGGTTAAGGCTGAGGGGGTTCATATTATTGGCTAAGGCAGCAATGAACAGCCTTGCTGGGAAGCAACATGAAGCGCATGGTAAGCGGAGAACTTTACTAGGAGCCAAGCTGACAGTCTGTAAAAAACCCACAGTGTTGACACAGTACTCTTTAGTAGTAATTCTGCTACTATGAACAAAAGCCGATATTCTGACATTTCAGGGCAGCACACTTATTAAACAAAATCATGAATTTTCTCAATACTTTTTCTTCCAATTTAATATATGGTGAAAGCCTGGAATAGCATTAGTGCCTACCAAATACATGATTATTTTTGTCTGAGTTTGGATGCAATGTGGATGATGTACAAAATTCAAGTACTGTAACAAATCTGGATTAAAAAACCAAAATAAATTAATTTCCTTACACTTTCATCTGGAAATAATGCAAATTTGGTGGAAGCTGTCAAAATGTTGCAGCTTTTTATTACTCTCCACTGCCACATTTGCACTGCTGACTACCCACATAACTTCATGATGAAACTATGCTCAAATCTGTTATTTTATCTAATATTAAATGAAAACATACTACAAAGAAATCAGTTTAACATGTTTCTATAGCTTCTAACAGGAATCAAGAACTGTGAACATTTTCAACAGCAGTCAAATCAAAATGTTTAATCTAATTTTCCTGTTATTACTCTAAGAGGGGTTCAGCTACTTGTTTGAATCAAAGCAGTCAATAACTAAATACTAAAAAGCTCCCTGAAAAGCAGTATTTACTGTGGTTTGGGGTTTTTTTTTGGGGGGGAAGGTCTTGCTGAAAACTGCCTACTACAAACTCTGGAGTTTGTCTTTCACAGATTGCTTTTAAATACAAGACTGGTTGAAGATGACAACTTTGAACAATCTCCTAACTGTTGTAGGCCATTTAAAAGCAATGCCAGCACCAAACTTTTCACACATCAAAAATCTCATTTTTAGCTTTACTATTAAAGAGCACCACCACAACAGAACCATTACCTGCTCAAGTGAAAAAAAAAATAACATAAGGAAAAAAGAAATTACTGTTTCTAAACATTTTGATGAAAAGTAAATTCTAGTTAGCATTTACCAAAAAAAGGTACCTATTAGCTATAATATTTTAATCTTCATGCAGTAGGCCTTTCAAAATATAATAAAGTCTCGAGGACTTCATTTATTAGACTCCAACAACTGCTTCAGTTAATTTGGGAGAGGATAGGAAAGTGGATTTTCTGTAGCCGTTCCTCAAAAGGACTGGCATTAGCCCACCACTGGGCCTGCATTCTTCTCAGTGGGTTTAAAAAAAAAGTTTTGAAATATTTGGCATTTTACAGTCTGGAATGTAATATGGTTTAAGCTCTAAAGAACTCAGTAGGGAATTAAAAGTAGTGAACTAATAAATACCTTTTAAAGAAGCAGTTCAATTAAGTACTGCTACACCACACTTATGCCTATCAGATGCAGGCAGTTTAAAAAGTAAAATTGTTGTAAGGCATATATGGAAATTAATTTAAAGTTCAAAACCAATTCAATTACCAATTCAATCTATCCAGTATGAGATATTCATCAAATGTTGGCACAGGACAAAGTTTGGTAA